AAAATCATAAAACACAGGAGCAAAAACAGCTACACTCTTCTTTTTGCAGTTCTTAAAAATTTCAAGTAAACATTAGCCCAACAGGGTGACTAAAGTGAGATGATATTGCAGAGAAAAAATGTATGTGTGTATTCCTGATAATGATTATATACTCCCCAAGGCCAGACAAAATCCATCTGTGATTGCAAGGCAGTAATAAAAATGACCACAGGTTCAGGCAAGGAAATGGTGACTTCAGACTGTGCTATTCAGAAGCTGCTATGGGAAGCCCCACAACATTTGGCCAGATGTTTTGCATTAACTTAAAAAGATTAAAGATATATAATGAAAGAAATCATCTGCCTGGATGGGAGTTCCATGTACTGTTAACTCCGAATTCCTAAAGGAATTACCTCCACAAAGGTCTGCCTTTGCTACAGGTCTCTAAAAAGCCTCTTTATTTGAGCAAAACAAATTAGCCCCAACAAAGAGTGTACCCATGTTTTTGTTTTTTCACTTATCAAAACAACTTAGCAAGCTCATTCTGCCAAGTGTGTCTGTGTGTGTTTTCTATGTTTTCACCTATATTATTCTGTAGGTAATTTTGGGTTTCATAGATTTGGTGAGGCTTCATTAGGTTTGATTTAATCTGGCCTTTAGGTGACTGGCTAAATCACTGTCAATTTACTCCTAATATTGAACACTCTGGATCTCAAATTAGGGGGATATTAATTAGCTGTAATTGGTCACAGAGATGGCAGGGAATTCTGAATGCTCTATTAGCCCATTAGCAAATATAGATTCCTGGGCAATCAGTCTTAAGGACTAAAATAAAATAATCTTAAATTATTGAGTTGCATTTACCAATTAAAATGTATAATCCAGTTATGTGTACAAGAAGTGCATGAAATACATTCATGAATTATGAAGCCTGTTAAAAAGGTGTGTTTTCTAACACAAAGGATGGAAGTAATGAACTGTTGCAAAGCATACATAGAGCCAAAATTAATTTTTTTCTTCATTTCTGAAAATATTGAAAATAAATGAGTTTCTTCAATGTGGTATACTACTTATTCCTTATTTGTATACACTGTGTACTGCAGGAGATTTGTTGTTTCTTCTCTCAAGCTTTTGTAATGCATGTCACCTTCATACCACCTTTGAAATATTTCAGTCATGTTCACAGTTGTACAATACAGCATGATAGGAATGCAAGCTTTCATTTGATTCCTCAAAGGAATGAGCATAATGCACTAAAGCACAACACTGCAAAATTTAATTTCCTTCTTCTGGGTAGATAGAACAGGGGTGAAACTTTCAGTACAGATCTAATTCTTGTCTCGTACCTTCCTTGAAATCCACTGCTAAAGCTAAATTTGATTTGTAGATTCTATCCCTGTCCTAACTTCTGAACAAACTGACACATAACCACCCAGGAAGCAAAGCTTTACACATGCAAACTGTGACACAGGACCACCCTGCCATAATTTATGTCACAACCAGCACCTCCTCTATAATACAGAGTGCTATAGAATTTACAGCCATCATGTACTGGATGTGTAAAATTACACAAAACTGTATATTAAATCTTGCTGTGAGCAGATCTTGAATTCATATTATCTAACTTCACTTACAGAAACCCTAAATTTTAACCTTCCTCAGCCTCCCTCAGTTCCAAAAACTACTTTACAGATGCTGAATAAAGAGGGGCAGCAAAAAAGCAATTTACCACATCTACTTTACGATGAAACTAAACATCTCTTTTTCATACCATTCCAGGACAAATGTCATCTTATATAGATTGTCAAAATTTCAAAAACTTGATAGTTTACTGTTAAAAGGATGTGAAACCATATCAAGAAGCAAAACATAAGGGTTGGCACTCTAATCACAGAGGCTAGTGTGAAGTTCGAACCGATAAATTAAAAGAATACATAAGAGCTAAAATACATATATAAAATAAAATATATAAATATTTTATTTATATAAATAAATAAAATACTGATAATTTATGTATTTTTGGAATTATTTGCCTTTCAGGTAATGAGAGTAAAATTGTTAATTATTGAAGGAAAAGAAAACCCAGGTTCAAGTTTAAAGTACTTCTTTCTCAGCTCATGTGTAATGTTTTTACTGAGCTCCGTGAATCTCTGTATATTCTAGGCAACTCATAATCCAGGACATTGCACTTCCTGTATTTTCCAGAGCTTAGCAGCTCTGTAGTGCAATCAGAGGGGAAAAAATCCATGTCTATTCCTCAGCCACACAGCTCCCTGACTGGTTTACCAGGTCAGACTGCTCCTGCTTTGTGCTGCACTCACTCCTGCGTGGCACAGCCACTGCTACAGCTCTGCCGTGGAGATGGTCATTTCTGGCACAGAAACATAGTGGAAGTCCCTGTGTAGGGAGCCCCCAGACCAAAATCCTCTGGCAGCTCTTTAACTGCCCTTCAAAATGTGCAGCCTGCTCCTCGGTCACCCTCCTGTCTCCTCTGAGTTCAGCTCCCCAGCCTGCCTCATTCTTATGCCATGCATCATTTCTGAGCATGAACTTCATGGAACTTCAGGTAGAGAAACAGGAAGGAGATTGAAAGCACTGGCTTATGAAAGGCAAGTGTTCTTTGAGGAGAAATACACTGTTTTTTTCTGTGGTTTATGGATTTAAAAAGTCCACAGCTGAATATAATTTTTTCGGCATCTTTCATTTGCATTTGAAAACTAGGAAATTAATTTAAATCTTGCTTGCAAGATTTAGTTTTGCTTGCAAAACTAAATTCACAGCCCCGAACATAACTATTTACTCTTTTTATGTAGGTCTGCTTTTTCAAAGAGCAATATCAAACCTACGACAAAAAAATTTACTGGGTTTTAAATTAAGGAGCCACTTAGAAATGTGCTCCAAATTCTACTTTCTATATGAAAATGAGGCATTATTTCCATTGTAGGCAAACTGTCTAAAAGTGAAATCAATTCTTGCATCAATAATGCCAGCTATGTGATATGTACAATCTTCACCTATTTCCATGGTTTTTTCACAAATCACTGGATTTAACTAAAAAAAACCTGTAAGAAATCAGGAGTGGAAACTTAAGGGTTATAATAACAGCTATGAAACTATTCTTATATGTATATAAATACATAAAATAGTTTTAAAAATCCTTGCTGAAAGAAGTACAGCAGTTCTGCCTCTTAATGTTTGACCATCAAGACCTGATTTGAATGCTGGCTTAATTAATCACTTAGGAACAGAAATATTGCTGGGAAGGAAAAGAAACAAACTCATGAACTCTAAATACTGAAGTATCTCTCAGAGATCTTCACAAAATAAGAACTCACCCTGTAGATTAAATTTAGCATTGCTTTATTTCTACATCCTGCTCTGAAAATGGCATTTTCCATCAACACTTCTGAGATTTAAGTTCATTTAACCAGTAGAATGTAAGCAGAATTCCATCTACTTCAGAAGTTTCCTTCAGACTCTGGTACAGATACAAATTCTTATAGCTTAGCATTGCCCTTGTTAATTGAGCAAGTGTGACCTGATAGCAAGTTCAGAAATTTCTGTGTGTTAGAGTTTAGTCTGAGCTATGCCCTGGTTCTTGACTGTTCATTGAAAACATATTAAGAACTTGATTAACTGCTTGACTGATTGATTGGCTGATTATTATTGAATATGGAAAACTAAAGTTGAATATGAGAGTTTCTTTCTTGGCTTGTCTCTCTGTTGTAGTATCAACTGTTTGGTTTCCAAACTAAAATCTGATGCTTATTTTGGAAGGAGGTCTCAAAAATAACTTTATATTTTCCTGGTACTCCAGAGATGTCCTTCTGAAAACAAAGACATGAAAAGAAATTTTAAGAAAGTTTTGTGGTACATTTTCTCCACATTTGAAGCTCTGTGACGTCTATTGATCCAGGATTTGTTGGTCTCTTTCAAGATCTATATTTGTTTCAAAAGCTTTCTAAGTAAATCCTGAAGTCGATATTGATATATAGCAGGACAAAAAAATCTATGAATTTATCAATAAACTAATAAAGTCCAGGAAATTTACTCCAAAACATCAACTCAATTTCTTTTGAATTAAAAGTCTGAAGTCTGAATTTCAGTTCCTAGTTAATTATTGTGACAGATGCGATCACTTTAGAGCTGGAATTCTCATTTAAGGAAGACAAGGACCCTAATAATATGTTTTCTGGTTCACATACATGTTTCCCAAGTGTTAACGGCTGTTAGCTTCACAAAGGTTTTACTACTGAAAACTTGCTGAAGTCTACATACCCTTTGCAAACATAGGTAGTTAGTTTATTTCCATTTAACATAATTTCCAGATAAAAGGCCTAAATATTCCATTTTTTTATTTGCCCCTCTTTTTTTCTGTTCCTCAGTTAGAATCACAGTCCTTGTACCACCCACTTCATTGTCATCTTTGTCCCCTGTAATCAATATATGTCATCAATCATATTGATGTTTATCCTAAAGCTTGATCTTGTTCATTTGTCTATCCAAGTCTTAAAACTAGGCTAGATTATCGAAGACAAGGGTGTGTTTTAGCTAATATTAAGAATCTGGTCCTCTGTACTTATAGTTTTTGAAGATCAGTTTTAGGGTTAGCACATTCTTCTACATTTTTCTGATCATTGAACCATGTAAACAAATATCAGAATACTCAAGGCAACAATTAGACTATATTTCTGAAAATATTAATAATTACTAATTTCATTTTTCTAGGAAAAAAAATTAAATAGAAATTGGAAAACAGGAATCTGACCTTACATGCTCATATATATTTTATGTTATTGTCAATATATTCATTTTCCAGGATAAGGATGGGCTGCAAAGTGGAGAGACTTAAATTATAAAGGTGCATGTGGTATAAACTAATATGTTCTGACATTTCTCAGCAGAGACACTGTGCTGTCCCCAAGGAGGTGAGACACTGGCATATTTGTGTAATAGATGCTGCTTAATAAATTTTTAAATTTGAATATGCAAGGTATGAAACAGAATATGCTAAGTTTTACCTGCTAAGTCTTTGTAATCCACCAAGTCAAACATTACAATAGCCACTGCTGACCAGGTTACAATCAGAGCAACAACAAGAAGCCATGCTGCTGGAGAGCTGAAGGTGTTCACAAAGTCTTCTGTCACTGACTTCTTGCCCACTCTCATGGATGACGAGGGAACGGAGCCGTTCTTACCATCTATTATCGTCGTGGTTGTTGACATGTGTCCTGTACAGACAGACAAAACAGAAGAAAAGAGTGTAACAGCTTGGAGTCTTAAAGCCAAGAATATGAATGCTCTTTTGAAATTGTTTTGTCATCAGAATGTTTAAAATAAATATAAATATTTTATCACTGAAAAAATGTTCTTGGACTTTCTGGAAGAAATAGTCACAACCAGCCTTTTTTATTATATGACTTTTTTGAGTCTGCCACAAATAGCTACAAGCCTAGGAGAGTGATTGATGAAAGCATAAAATATTATTACCCTCCAAAGGATTATCTTGTTACGGGCTGTAGGCCAGATTCTCAGGTGATGTGATTAAGTGAACTTCCATTGACTTTAATGGAGCTAATGCATCTATGCCACTTGAGGTTTGGCTGGAATTCTGCTGTGAAGGACATGTATCAGTAGAAATAGAAATACATATATTTAATTTCATCTAACAGAAAAACAAATGATTTCCATGTCCAGGATCCTTAAAAGTCATGAACAAGATTGTAGCTGATTTTTAAATACCTTTGTGGAATTTTTCACTTAATGAAATAATCTCCTAAATTACAACGGCAAAGCAAACTTGGTTGCAGAAAGCATAGGTTTGGTAGTAAAAAGCTGGTAGGAAGTTGAATGTTCCTTAGCTAAGTGACCAACTGACACACATTAACTATGTAATGGACAGTAACAGCAGTGACTTAACCTACTTCCTGAGGTACCAAAAATGTTAATTCTGGACATAAACGTTAATTCTTCACACAAACCAAAACTATGGTAACAGAAACCTAACTGTATTTGAAAGTTCTCAACTTAATCTTCATAAAATATATTTTGATAAACTAAACAACCTAAGGAGGTACATTTTTTTCCATTATATACAATGACAATAGTATAAGTATTCTGAATACCACAGTTCAAACTAGTAGAAGACCACAGTGTCTCCACTTAGTTTGCCATATCTTGTATGTTAGAGTTAAAATCTTCAAAGATATATTACATGTGTTCTTGGTCCCACATCAACTTGCATAAATTAATTTCAATTATTTAAGAGACCCTTGTCCATACAGACATCCAAACTTTCAAGGAATCAGGTAGCACCTGGTTTGTGCAGATCTTTGCTTTTTGTTTGTCTTCTGTCACAGTTGATGCAATCTATAAAAATGATATTTTCTGTGTGTCAGAGTTGCTCTGCATGAAGGTAAGCAGATTCAATTTCACTTTTGACATAGAAAATGACAAATAGGCACTGAGAAAATTTTGCTGGAGCTAAGGTACAGGCTGTTGAAGACTTTCCAATATTTACCATCAAATCTCTATTTAGACTCTCTTTGAGAATCACAACATTTATATTCTTAAAGAAATAAATGAATGAAGAAAGGATAAAATCATTAATACTACCATATATACATACATTTTTCCCTTCCTATTTTGCCCAAACAATTCTGCTGATCCTTATGCTAATGAATAGATGCTATTCTAATGCTGTAGAATGTTAAAACAATATCCTAATGTGATACTGAAATGCCCCTTTATGCATCTGACAAAAACATAAAATTTGGAAGGATAATATTGTTGGAAGAGATTCCCTAATTCTTAATCTGTCATACCTGTTGAGTTTTCAAATTCATGTCTTAATCTGTTCTAGAATTCCTTTAAAAAATTTATTATGCAGTGCATTGTATTAATGAGTAGTTGCCTTAGCTCTGCCTTTTAATTTTGCTTCTGCACAAGCATCTTGGTGCCTTGCTTCAAGCCCTGAAAAACTGCTCTGCTACACTGCAGAGCTGTAAAATCAAAATTGCCATATTACATGTTTTGTATTACTTATTTGAAATTTGTTCTTATTTATAGAATATTTATTCCACTCATAAATAATATCTATCCCCTAGGATAGAATGTATACAATTAAAACAATATTATAAAACCATCATTGCATCCATTTCTCCAAACAAAAATTTTAGATCAAACAATTCAGAGCAGGAGGAAAAATCTGCCAAGTGACAACTAAGAATAAAAATCAGCTTCCTAAGCCAAATTCAAAATCAATAGCATTTTATCATCTTACTGCATACACGGTGGAAGTAATTTGTGCATGTAACAGGTCATGAATGACACATTATGCATTTTTTCCCCTTGGGGATATCAGTCAGAGTTTATGATGTGTAAGAGAGAATAGAAAGGTACTGTCTCATCTTGACAAATCTGATTAGTACCACAGCATGTCTTCAAGGACACCCTAGTGGCAGATATTTGCAGTTATAATACAAACAATTAAAACTCTGTGTGCGTATACAGATATAGACTTATAATTACCAGTCAAAGGATAATTCCTCTAGGTTTGTTGTTATGTGAAAATAGTTCCTTACTATTTAGTGTACCTAACTTTTCAAACTCAGACCACTACACATCTTTGGTGAAGAAAATAGTAACTGATGATTTATCAATCAGAGCAATGCTGCAGGGACAGAGATCAAGTATGCTAGAAGGTTATCTATGAAAGCTTTTGGCCTGTTGATGTAGTCAAGTCAGATTTCCCATTAAAAACTCAGGATATTGTACAATAAAATCGCTGTCGTTGCATTCATTAAAGTGTGAGTGAACAGTTATTGATTTAAAATTTGACTGGAAGTCAAGCTAGGAAAGTACTGTTATACTGCTGGAGATTCCTGATACAGGTGCTTGCAGTGTGATTCAGGGGCCTAAGAGAGATTTCCAGTGTTGTTTTAAACGCTTTAGATTATCAAAAATGTCCTCACAGGACTGGCAGGCAAAATTTAAAGGAAAATTTTTTCTTGGAACACCCCAAGAAAAAAACCTAGACAGGATGTCCTAAAGCAAATAGAAATTAGATTTTTATGTCCCTAGATACCTATATAAACAAAATTGACTGGAGGATTTTATCTGATGATTCTTCACAAAGACATTGTTTGCTGCTACATAATCTCATGTAGGGTGGGTTGTATATTGATACCATCACCATTTCATGACTCCAAAATGAAGAGACAGTAACACTGAGATGATCTCCCTCTCTCCACAAGTATTCCATTATTGTAGTATCCAATGTGTTTGTCGCGTGTCTTTCTCTGGTTCTTTCTCGCTTTCAGGTGTCTTAGTGCTCTGTTCATTTCTATCCACCTTCCACCAGTTCTAACTTTCTCTGCAAACCTTCAGTGATAATATTTATGAAGCTAGACAACAGAGAAAAAGGGGATGTATATACAATGTTTTCATCAGTTCAGCCAGCAGTGACTCTCCTTTTTCTCAGAAAAGCACCAAAGTTAGTCAGAACTTCTGCCCAAGTGGTCAGTGGAGATTCAGGTGCCCAGTGGGGGACAGGCACCCAAATAGGCATTTTTGTTGCTTTGAAATCACCTGATTGAGCCTATTGAGTTCTACATTTACAATTAGCAGAGGTCATTCAGCAGCAGGTTAAAATTAGATTGCTGAAATTTCCTAGGCATCCTTGCTGTCCATATAATAAACATTTTCTCTCTCAAGACAAATTTCTGTGTCCATATTACAGCCAGCCTGAATCCAAGTCAGTTTACTTTTGATGAGCACTGCAGTGGATCAGGAGATTCATGAGCAGATCAGTTGTCCCTGCTCTGGGAGAAGCAACATCCATCACAGGAGTGGAGGGTGCAGCTGAAGGCTGCTACAATTTCAGCCATCCAATTTTAATCCACCACCACATGTCTGCTAGAGCCTCTTGGCACTTTGGGTTGTGATTGGTATTGATTTTCAATGAGGACGGGAACTTAAAAAAGTTATATATATATATTTCTATAAAAAGATTACTCCAGGGATATATACCTCTGACTGCACATCACAATTTCTCATGCACACAGGACTGCCCCATCAGGTCGCAAATGTCACCTTTACATCAACAGATTGATTTGCTAAATTCCAAACAGCTAAAACTCTGAGATTCTTACTATTCTTCTGGTTTCAGAGTTGTCACTTAGAATACAATCTGAAGACCCATAAGGTCTCGTAAGTATAAATAAACCTTGACAATTGGTGACAACTTTGAGGAGAACACCGTGTGACTTTCAGAATCCAGAGTGAGGTGGTAGTCCTGGCAGCTTAGGTAAAATACTCTTTTTTAAGGCATTATCTCCTTAAAACTTAGTAAGCATAGGAGTCCATGGTTAAGGATGGGGACTTGATTTTAGAGTTCAACAGATTCACCTTCTCCTACACTAGTAGAAAAATGAAACAAAACAAAACTAAACATCCGAAATTATTAATTAAACAGATTCTGCTCAGACTCATTCAGGTGAAAAGAGTAATTTTCTCCATTTCTATCACTTCATAACTATTTTATGTATAACAATCTTATTCTTCCAAAAAGACAAAAAAAAAAGTAAAACATTCAATGTGCAATGCCTTTTTAAGGCTAAGTATATTAAAAGCAGACGACTAGTTACAATACCAAAAAAACCAAAGAGGTTGTTCACTTTTAAATAATAATATTGTTGCTAGGGCAATGCATTGGGATGTGAGAAACCTCAGTGCAGTGTGCTCTAAATGAGAGAGCTGGTAGATTTTGACATGTCTGTTGTACTCCCCAGATGAGCACTCCAGTAAATAGGCTACAGAGTATTCTGGATTCAGGTCATTAATGGCTTCTGTTTGACCTATTCCACTTCATTTGGAATATTTAAATACTAATTAAGGAAGCAAGGAAGAGAAAAAATTGCTGTAAAAATCGACACTGGATGTTAAGCACCAGCTCAAGCCTTGGGCTTTAACCTGGTGACCTTATCAACCCAGCACTGCTGGGATCAGGCAGGCAGGAGTCTCAGCCCACAGTAAGTAGGGCACTGCAGGGAGGAGAGGACAAGGGATTAGAACCCTTCAGTGAACGAGTGGGCAATGGATATAAGATAATCTGCTGCATTTTTTTCAAGCTCAGCACATCACCCTTAGTGAGTCCACAGACCTGCAGGCATCACAATAATCACTCTTTCCCCACATGAGGAAAATGATTTCTACCACAAGAAAGGATTAC